TGGGCTTCTTTCGTTGGCACTGAGATCAAAGCCTCCCTCGAAAACCAAGACCTTTTATACATTGTCCCCTACCTCAATGGACCGCTTACAATAAACGGGATGCAGCACTAGAGAACGTTTGCGAGTTCAGATACCTTCGCTCAACTACGTTCCAGAACAGACAGGCTAGTGACAAAGTCACGACACGCTTGGACAATCCTCACAAAGCCGTTCTTATAACTGAAGTATGTACAAGACAGGACATAGAAGTTAGTACCAATGAGTTCGTAGACCGGTCTGTTTTAATCTATGCTTACGAAACCTGGCCGCAGGATGCAGTTTTCCTACCACTTGTGTTTGTGGAACATTCTCAGGATTATGTGTCGAATGTATCAATCGGACTGAACAATTAGTTCATTAACGCCCAACGACTTGGACACCGCCGCCCACATACGGAACTCTTCATGCCTGTTCTTGTTCCCAAAACGCATCAGGAATGGCGTCATCGCTGAGGTGGTCAGATGGAAACCTGGATCGTCACCCTTTAGGCCGATATTGAACGTCTATTGTACAAGTGATCCATGCCACTGTAACCAACACTAGGTAGATATCTGAGAGAGCCTTGTCGCCTACCGTCGAACCTGGGCAGCCAGGATTTGAAACACTCAACAGGCCGCCTCGTCTTCACACACAAGATCACCCAAACACCGTATAACAAGAAAGGAGCCAAGCACCTACGCCTTTCTCCTTGCGTCCTCGAGCTCCTGTAGCCAAACGGTTCAAACTATTAAAACCCCGGGTCCGGTTAGTGCTTCTAGTGTATGATGGAGAGCAATTCGTACGAAAAATGGTGGCCTTTGTGTTACGCTGCTGAAGGCGTAGGAAAAGGCTGTTCGATCGCTAACACTCAATTGAATCAGGACAGGAATAGTGGGTGGGTCAGCTGAAGAACTGCAAATCAATAAACTACGGTAAACAAAGGTTGTTCTCTGATTATCACGAGCATTATTGGCAGTACTGTTTCTCCTAATTTATGAGGATACGTGGCTTTAATTTGTGGCTGACAGACAAAATCACTCAAAGAAAAAAGGCACTCCCCAAAACAGTCCACTGCAAGCATTCCCGGGCAATTTCCACTGGGTTCCGCACCACCGGAGAGGCTAACCCAACCTCCCTAAAGTCCGTGATTTTGTCCCAAGTTACGAGTCCACCTAAAGAGGCAAAAGTGGTGATTCCATGATACAAGGAGAACGGGAGAAAAACAGGTGTTTCAAGGGTTGGACGGAAATTTTGAAAAACGTAAGCTCTGAACGTAATTCAATGACCAAATGGCTTTCAATTCAAATCGAGAGTCTCATCGTCATTATTTGACTTTGGACTTATCCAAAGATTAAGAAAATCAGTCTTGGGTTCCTGGATCCTAATGCCATTTCCTTAGTTCTTTGCTGTAAACACCAGTGACCATGTTTTGATTGGCTTCCGTGAAACATTTACACACTACTGATTTTAACGAAGGATGTCTTGTGTGTTAGCTACTCGGCATTGTGATTAACTCGCACTCAAACATTATATGGAGGCACTCATCCTCCAATCAGAGAGTCCACATCACGTGGTTATGAGCTGATTGGCTCCCCGGTCCAAGACTCCTCAAATGGAGGGTTCTCTGTTGTGCGAATTATTCTTCTGATGAGCAGTTTAT